CCAAGGAACTGGTAAACAACAGGCAGGTGTTTCACTGTCCAGAAACCGGAGCGTTTGTTGTAGATCACAACTCCAGGAAATATGCAGTGACACTATTCCCCAAAGAAACCTGCCAGTGCCCATCGACATATATACAGGTTATATTGCCCCCATCCACTGGATACACCCCAGCCTACCTACGATCACAACACTGTTGTTTAAATGCAGCTGTCTGCTATGTCCGCCCGATACAGTATGACCTGGACATGAAATTGTCTGAAATTGTGGTTAGTATTATAATGCTTGGGAGAGCTGCACTAAAGTAATCAAAAACTCTGTGCTTTAAAAGTGTTCTGCTATGCTTCTGCTATTATTTTTCTTCATCATTAAAGCAATTTCAATGTTTTAATGACAAACAGGGTGCTTCCAATGATGCAATGTCCATTGCTGATGTCACTGCACCAACAATTCAATGCCAACAGTGTGGCGTGCAGGTGATCATGACTACCCTACGGAGTCATATTTCAACCTGTCTGTGAGTAAATATAAGAAAATAACTAAATGCTTAAAAAGATTAACATGCATCAACTGGTTTTGTTATGTAATAAATGCTGCAATAAAATTATAAAACATTTCTAGATATGAGAAATGAATGAAATTCTGTTTTTCTTTGTAGAACACAGACAATCGGCAGTATTTGGTTTTCTAGACGATCTGCAGCCGGATATACGCGCGAATATACGTATATTTGTGTCTTACAACGGGTTCGTACAATCCGCAACGCAAATCACACTGTCTCCCTCTGATTTTTAACGGTCGACGGCAGTGCACCGGACAGCTGAAGAGCGGCGGTGCTTTACGCAAAGAACATGCGTATCTGCGGCCAAACGCATTCCACGGAGTCAGCCCCTTACAAAGAAAACAACTCTTCCCGGCACTACCGCCGACGTCTCCGAGTTCGTTTGCGTTACCGCACTCCACCCCGAAGGGCCAATCTCCGTGTCGGGTTTCGGCAATATTAACCCCATTGCCTTTCCATCGACGGCCGCAAAAACACATTGCCGTCCCTTCCCAATCGCCTTCGCCTAGCTCTGACCATCGACTGTCGCTTCCGAATGGCCTTCGCCTATCTATTACGCTACCTGTATCCGCACGCGTCGCCCGTAAACTGCTTCTCTCCTGTGTCAGTGCGCATGTGTTTCTTGAGATTACTGGCCTTAGCACACCTGTATCCGCATGTGTCGCACAGAAACGGCGGCACGCCCATCATTGACGTCAGGGCGCCATCTATGCCTGTGTCGACCCTGTCAGACGACGCTTCCTTGTGTGATCGTGTGAATGGCTGGTTGAACGTCGCCTCGTCAAGGCTCCTTCCGTGACGCTTACTCTATATGTTCCATTCACTCCTCTTTCGCCATTGTCCTTTCGTCGTTAGGGGCATCTGAACACTGCGTGAGTTCACGGCTATTGATAATGCCCTCGACCTCGCACATTACAGTATGCAGGTGTTCCTCCTCGGAATACTGACTAAATATAATCATAACTTTATCATAACTTCTGCTGCGTCAAACACAACACAAATGTCAGTTCTTTACACGTGTAAGATCTTCTAAAGCGTTCGTCACGGGTTTCTCAATAATTCCGGACAGCGACTTCTCATGCCATTGCAGTTCCACCTGCCTCGCGTAGACGTATTCGTTTAATGTTTTACACGACATGACTTGACAAAGTATATGTGGCAGTATACATTCGAAATACTTGTACAACACTCGAGTAATTTCGTAACCATAAGCTGTATTAGTGATGGATTTTGGGGGTCGTCAGGTGGGCATGAATATGGATTTGATAGCCGTTCCCCCACTGTGCTTGCTCATCTTCCTTTGCATGTTACATGACCTCTCGTCGTTGTAGCGAACTGTTGCATTCTTTCGTTTAGCACGAGTATAGAAATGATAATAAATTATGCGTACATTGACTGATGAAAAGTTTTATAGAACGATGTTGGTTTTATGAAGCATGTTGTTACGCGTAGCTATGTCAATGTGTGTGACTTGTTTGAATAAGTTATGCATAATCTGTATGATTCATGGAAATGGTTCAATGTTGCAAGTGGCTTTCATCGTACTTCCACAATGACTTGGACAATTCTTTCAAACATTGTCCACTGCTAACTCATCACACTGGAAGAACATGTTCCTATGAAGAACACGAATGCGCCCAAGCCCACTTTGAGATTGCACTTCGTAAACTCGGGCATGCTCCGAGATCCTCCTCGTGACTACATCACTGTTCTGTTGCCAGTAGCATCTTACTTTTCCTGCTCCTCCCCGCTCATTGAAATTACGTACCACAACCCTGTCTCGAGTCTTAAATGTCGAACTCGTAAATCCCTTGTCATATTGTCTTTTGCACTTGTCGGCGGCGTTTCAAGCGTTTTCTTGTGCCATCCGATATGTCTCCTGCATTGCTTGCAACCACTGTTGTGCGGTCCCTCGGCCCCGGCAGTGCAAGCCAAATAAGAAATGAACAGGTCATCTCGGCGAACGATTGTACAGTAACCGAAACGCTGAGAATCCGGTAGCCTCATGCCTAGTGCAATTCTATGGAACAACCAGACGGTTAAAGTGAGTCTTGCAGTCTGCTTTCTGTTTCCCATCTAAACTTCCGACCATTATTAACAAGGTGCGATTCATCCTCTCGCACTTGCCGTTCCCTTTACGGTGATAGGGTGTTGTTTTGCAGTGAGCCAATCCTCCAACCTACTTTCCTTAGGGTCCTGCCTTGGGTGATGGCAATGTACGCGTACACGCTCGGCGGCGGCGCTGTCGGACTGTAGGGTATTGG